ATTCTATAAATATTTTTCTCATTTTTTCACGATTTTGTGGTGGTACGTCGTCAAGAATTTCCTCATTCTTCTTTTTAGATATTTTCCTCTTTTTCTATAAAAAATTCATCAACAATATTATTATTAAGTCATGGTCATCATATATCAATACAATTATACACTTGTAAATAATACAAACTTTAGTTTGTTCAGAAAATGTTTCATCATTTGTCTGTTCATCATAACCACCAAACTCTCTTTTTGCTTTCCCTTTCTTTTTAATTAATTTGTGTAATGTCAAATCGGAATTATTGTTGTTGTGGCTGATCTTATCAAAAGATAATGATTCATCTTTACGTGGCCTTCCCCTTTTTTTCTTTGAATCTGACATGTTGTCAACAACCATCATCTCATCTGAATAGACAACATTAGGCTTTGATGTACTTCCTTGTTGAGATGGTTCTTCTTCTGGTTGTTGCGTTATCGTTCTTTTAACTTTCTTTTCTAATCTTCTATTTTTATACTTGTTCGTATGTATCCAATTGGTGATAGAATGATCATAAATATTTACTTGTCCTTATTTCATTAACTCGTATAAATGTAAATAGGAATCCACATCAAGATTTACAAGCGCAAGATCGAGCACATCGTATTGGACAAACTAAAGAAGTTAAAATATTAAGACTCATATCACAAAAATCTATCGAGGAAAGTATATTGGCCAGAGCACAGTATAAACTTGATATTGATGATAAGGTTATACAGGCTGGTAAATTTGACAATAAGAGTACTGCCGAGGAACGTGAAGCTCTATTAGTATGTTTTTATTTATTGTATCATTATTATTAAATTTTTTTGAAAAGAAAGACAATATATACTTACATTTTCAAATCTATGACAGCGCTCGTTATTGGGAAATGAAAATGAAAATGATGAGGCAAATGACGTAAACGATGAGGAGGAGATGGATGATGATGAATTGAATGAATTGATATCTAGGAATGATGAAGAGCAAATGTTGTTTAAACAGATGGATATTGAAAGGAATCAAAAAGAGGAAGAGGAATGGCGAAAGAAGGGCGGAAAGGGCACCAAACCTGAAAGATTGATTCAGGAAAGTGAGTTGCCACCGATATACTTGAAAGATTATGAAAGTATTATGAGAGATGAAGAAGAGACAACCACTTTGCTTGGTCGTGGTAAAAGAGCTAGAATTGACGTTAGATATGATGATGGTTTGACAGAGAAACAATGGATGAATGTAAGTATTAGAAATAATAATGATACTATTAGAAAGATTGGTAATTAGTATTAATTGAAAATGATTTAATATTTTGTTGATTTCATTTTTAGTCACTTGAGGATGATGAAATAGATGAAATGAAGAGACTTGAAACAAAAAGACGCCGTAAAGAAAAAAAGAGTCATGAAAAATCATTAGAACAAGAACAAGTGCAAATGTCATCATCGTTGTCTTCTTCTTCTTCTTCTTCACTACAACAACAACCAAACATCTCATTAACGCCACCAGATACAAACAACGACATAAATAACAATCTTAATAATATTAATAATACAGGACCAATAATTCCGAAGAAAAAAAGAGGAAGACCACGCAAACCAACTTATAATTAAAAAAATTAATTTTATTTAATAGGCAGCTTCCTTTTTTTAATAATTCATTAATAATTATTTATAAATATTAGTAGTAATAATTTTAAAAAACTAGATTAAAATATAAATATAATACAAGACATATAATATATATACACTGACTACAGTTTTTTTATTACTGTACATAGATGTTATACGATTTGTTAATTACATGAAAGGATTTCAAAAGGTAGTTGTTCTAAAAACTCTAAATTTATACATGCACACACACATATATATA